TTTTTTTTGCAACTATTAAAATATTTTTTTTTATAAACAAACATTTTTTTTTACCTTGATACTTGGAACTGATGGTGCAGTGATCGGTTCGTTTATTCTTATTTTTGTTAATAATTGTTAATTAATTAGTAATTATTTTTTTATTTTATTTATTTATTTTTTTCATTACCTGATATRTGTCATTCTGTTTTGTCTGTGTGTGTTTTTGTTTTGGTCCACTTGTCATATTACGGCATCGAGTTAAGGATTGTTTTATTTTTTTCTTTTTTTTTTAGAAATGGGTGAAAAAGACCGAGACGCTGCACCAACAGCGGACAGACAAAAAAAAAAACACGTAAAAAAGTAGAAAGGGAAAACGACGACACGTGAAGTAAATGAAGAAAAAATATTTGAACGTTTATTTAATTGAATTTGACGAGATAAATTTCTGAAGTGACTAATTAATTTAAAAATAAAAACAGAAAAAGATACGGTTAAAGTCCAGCGCCATCTATTGGTCATAGATTTCGTTGAGTGCGTGAAATATTTGAACATAACCTAATCGTTTGTTCTAAACCGTTAATCTTCAAAAGTACTTAACCGATTGTTTTGAAATTTTGACACAACGTTGCATTCACATATAGCTAGGTTTTTGTTATATTAATTTATTTATAAAATAATGAATTAATTTAAAAAAGACAGAAAAAGATACGGGTAAGTCTAATGCCATCTGTTGGTCATAGATTTCGGTGAGGGCGGGAAACATTTGAACATAACCTAACCTGTTATCAATACGACGTCATATTTTGGTTCACATGAGCCACAATAACGCGTGGTAGGGCCCAATTAGTATATATATATATATTATAAAGTATGATATGAACTTCGTTTATAGTAAATATATATATAAATGAAAGGATGTGATCTTCCGTGGATATAAATTGCAAGATATCGGATTGGAATGATGTCACAGATCGGAACGAAATCCGTAACCGGTCGGTAACCGATAAACGGAGCGTAAGCAGAAATTGCAAAAAGGTAAAAAGTTGTAATCGGTGTGTGTAAGTAGTAACGTACCGCGAGTACCCGCGATTCTCGAAGTCTCGTGCAATCGTTGAACGTAAAGTAGGGCAAGTAAGTAAGTAGTAGGTTATTATCATGTCGGCCCTTTCCTTAAATGGAGAGACAGCATTCGTGCCATGGCAATGAGAAAAAGAAAGAAAGAGAGGGAGTTAAGTATACGACCAATGAATGCACACGCATATCAACCGAATGTACACGCGTATGCAATCAAATGGATCTTGTACAAATTTGTATTTGCATTTGTGTCTGTGTCTGTGTGTTTGGGTTTATTTATAAATTTATCTAATTCGTGTGTGTTCATATAATTTTTTTTATGAAAGTATTTGTTTATAATAATCGAGATTGTTATTTGTTTTTTTGTTTAATTGAAAGTGGGGAAAATGAACAATTGAAAAATTGAGAAATGTAATTATGAATTTGTGTTAATTCAAATTGAAAATAATAAAATTAATAAAAATTTCGTCGTCGTTGTCCCTTTTTTTGGAATTTAGGATGTTTGTTAAAAGGTACTTACGAGGGTCTTGACCGAAACCCCGGCGAAAACATTAGCGTCTTTGCAGAACTCGGAGTAACCCTTCTCGCATAATCTCAGATCACCCATTGATTTTGCTTTCTACGATAATTGTTGTTGAAAGCAATCATCAGAATTTTTATTCAAGATTATACCGATACCCTTCTTTTTTTTTTTTTTATTGCAATGTCAGAAATAATAAATTTTTTAAATAACAATAACGATAAATAAAATCAATCAAATCAAAATCAATCAAAACAAAATCAATAAAATCAATCAGCAATTATAATAATTAAAATTATACATAAATAATAATTATATATATATTATATTCTATACGCGTATATAATTATATATTAATAATAATAAATTAAAAAAAAAAATAATAATAATAAAATAATTAAATATCATCGGTTTAATCTATCGTCGTTAAGAATCATTTTCAAGTTTCGTGATATAATTTAAAATAATAAAACAAACAAACAAATAAACAAATGCCATCAAACTCATCGTAATATTTAAAAAATATAAATGTTGATAATAATATTTCAAAATAGAAAAACATTAAGAAGCATTTAACCAAAGTTAGTATCATATGATTCATGCAAAGATAGAAAAGGGAGAGGGAGGGGGAGAAGAAGATAGTTCAATATTAGGCTAAATCTACTAGCATTCACATTTGTCGCAAATATTATTAACACTAGATTGCCCGAGATTTCTTGTATAGCTATATTGCCCAAAAACAGTCAAAATGACTGCATTGTGAAAAAATAACTAATGTGTAAACAAATTTGTTTAAAATTAATTTTTAATATTTCTTATATTATTTACAGTTATACAACAAGTTATTAGTAAATATTAACAATATTAATTAATTAATTATTATTAATTCTAAGAAATTGTGTCATTATATACATAATTGTTTTTCTAATTGAAAATAAAAAACAGTCAAAATGACTGCCTTGGGCAATCTAGTGTTAAATAATTAACAAATAATATTTCTCTGATTTTTTTTTAAACAAAATTATTTTTCAATTTTTTTTTTTGTTAATTTAATTTTTTACTTATATATATATATATAAAGTATTCGTACACTAGTAATATGAAAATATTATTAATATTGTACGAATACATTTTTTTTTTTAGGTATATTTTTATGTATAAATAAAAAATAAATTCTATCTTTGTATTAATAATAATAATAATAATAATAATAATAATAATAATAATAATAATAATAATAATAATAATATTCTTAGATTTTTGGAGTATTCAAAATTGATAAAGATAAAACAAAAATTTCATATGCGTGAATAATAATAAATATGACTTATAATTCGTGTTAAATAATTTTAGTTTTGTTTATAATAATAATCTAATACAAACCTCCTCAATTTCCACGGAATTCGTTCTGCCGAAAGTAGCCTGATCAGCATCGCTCATGTTCGAGATGTCGCCAAAGCTACGACACTGTTATCGATAATAAAACAGATCTGACACACAACTATAAATATATATACATATAAATGTATGTATACGTAAAATTGAATTTCTTGATTTTATATTTTATTGAAAAATAAATTCTCTATTTAATGTATATATATATATTGTTTCTTATTTCTCATGTTATAAATTTCTCTAAGTTATTAACTTATTTTTGTTAGGTTTAATTATTTGTTAATTAAAATGGTGTATTTGTATTACGAAATTTGTCCATTCGGTACGTACCAATTGTTTAATAGAAACACCTGTTGCAATTCTTTCCTTGTTAGATTTTTCCTGCTCGTTACGATTCGCCTCGGACACGTAATTCCGTGTCTACATGCACAAAACCATAAAATTTAAAGCAACAAAAATAAATATCAATATTTGCCATTCGCATTTACACGCCAAGACTTATCAATAATTGTTTCTTTTTTTCTTTTTTTTTTTTTTTTTGCAACTATTAAAATATTTTTCATTATACGATCAGAAATCAAAATTTAATATTTTAATCAAACGCATGCGACAAAACAAACGAATAAAAAAGAAAAAGAAAAAGGACACACACAGACACACATCAAACCAAAGATGTAAAAATTAAAATTACAATTTCTTTTTTTTAGTTTTTTTTCGTTTAAATTAATTGAGCTCGTTTTAAAAACAAATGCAATATCTCTGTAAATATTTATATTTGTATTATTACTGTATTAATTTTGTACAAATTGTAAATTTGTATTGTGTCATCTATTAATTTAAAAAAAAAAAAAAAATAACTTTTCAATTTATTAATTAATTATATATTAACATATAAAATATATTTTGACACCCTGTATAATAGAAATAATATATAACAATAAATATAAATAAATATATACAAATTATAATATTATAATTATATAAATTTAAATAATACAATGTGTGTGTGTGTGTGTATTAATTTTCAAAATTACATTTTTTTTAAGTTTTTTTTTTTTATATATATAAAATTAATATATAAAATTTAATTAATTTATATATTAAATAATAAACTAGTACAATTTTTTATTATATATTTTATTTTATTTTATAGACACTACAAAAAAAAAAAATAAAATAAAATTGATTTAAAAAAAAAAAAAAGAAAAAAAACCATAATCATTAATACAAATTAATATATTTACAATCAATAAATACTGTATTATTATTTATCAATTTAAACTGAGCTCAATTAATATTGGTTAGTGATATAAAAGACACGTTTTAATACATTCATCACGCATATAAACCAAGCCAATTATGTCAATCAAATAATTAAACGATGTTATCCAAAGATTGATGCATAATTTAATACCTAAACGATTCCCCAAAATCGATAAATTTCCAGTTATACATCTACGTCATTTATTATCGATCCAACTACCAGAGAAAGAAAAGGAAAATAAAAAATAAAAAAAATAAAAAAAATAAAAAATAATTCCTTCACGATATGACTTACCAACGATTTAACGTTGACGTTTGATAGATCATCCTCGTCGGAGAAATCGATCGTCTCTTGATTGGTTGATCTCGTATCGGCGGTATACATGCTTGCGTCTTGCAAATCAGAGTTCTGATAGACAGAAAAAAAAATGGGGAAGAAAAAAAAAAAAGAAGAACCAGAGAAAAAAAAGGAATATACCTCGTAGCAAATACACACAAACACACATACACACACACATATATATATATATATAAACGCATATACGTAAGTTGGATAGCAGAACATGCGATATATATAAATTGTTTTGTTTCTTTTTTTATTTCTTACTTTTACGATTAGGCCAACCCCCTTTTCCCCCCTCTCATTCGGTTAATTTGCTGCTTTTAGTGTTTTTCTGGTTTTGTTAATTTTATTGTTAGAAAAAGTAAAAAAAAAAAAAAAATGAAGATGAGTCTCTTCAAGAACTAAAATATGTTTAACCTCTTCAGAAATGATCTTTTTATGGCGGGAAAAATGACTTTTGGCGGGAAGAAACAAGTTTTGACGGGAAAGCATCACTTTTGGCGGGAAAACATATTTTGTTTTCTTGTTCTTTAACTGTACATTAGAAATAACCATTATTAATGCATTTTCTGATTGAATTATCAAATTTTTCTTCTATTTATTAATAATTATAAGAAACTAAACGTCCAGATATGTGAGCAAGGATGTGAAGAGGTTAAAACAAGACGAATTGATGATTAATATACTTACGACAGAAATATTTTCCTTTTCTAAATCGCTCTTCTTACTCTTCTTAGTTTTCTTAGTACGAGGAGTGAGATTAGGGCAAGCATCGTTACCAGCTACCCCTTCGATTTTCTTCTTCTTCGTTTTATTAGCAGCACCCTTTGACGTGCTGCTGCTCATCACCTTTGTCGTTGTTGTCGTACTGCTCGTTGTTATCTTCTCCTCGCGACTTTCGCTCTAAGTAATGATACAAATAATGTCAACGAAAAAAAAGAAAAAAAAAAAAAAAAAAAGAAACAAAATTAAACGAATGAAAAATGATATGTAAAAATGATATATGTATGTATATATAATATAACATCTTATAAAATAATTATTGTATGAAATAATTATATGTGTATAGTGTATATGTGAATGTATATATGACGATGATTGATTTAAAAAAAAAAAAAATATTACAGGTCTTGTTTTATCAATTAACTTCATTTCTGTATATTTTTGCATTCTAAATTAATTTTGTATGTTTGTTTTTTTTTTTTTTTTTAATAAATATTTAACCTATTGTGCAAATTAATTAAATTCTTTTTCAGTTCAATTTTTCGTTTCTTTTTGATATCTCATAATATAATATATTTAATATTATTTTATATATATATAATTAATATATACTTTATAATATAATTTATATATTGTATTAATATTTATATATAATAAATAGAAGTGTCCCGCCAAGCGTTACTGTGACTTACAATCAGTCCGATACACACGTCTTTAAGTCAACGAATTACCTTATACCGCCATCTGTTAGAATCTTATCGAATTAACAGAGATAATCATGACTCTTTGTTAATAAACAAATAATTCGATTATAAATTGAGATATAAACTATCCTATCTTTCAAGTTGGATGAAACTGCACACAGTGTGAAAAATTTGATTAAAATCGGTTTAGTGGTTTAGGAGTCCATTGCGGACAAACAACGTGACACGTAATTTATATTTATTAAGAAGATAAGAAGAAGAAAATAAGATAAATATATGAAATAACTACTATCACACAGCAGTCATATGCAGGGTGATTCACCAGCTATTGCCACTTAAATAGATGTAGGAAGAATCACCCTGTATATTTATTCATATACACCCTTAAGTGAATGGTTAAGTCAAGAAGAAGTATATTAATTACGACACACCGTCGTCGTGCGGTCAGGAAACATCGACTGGAGTAAGTTTCGAAAGGTGCTCTCTTCGTTGCCAAGGAAAATAATAGAAAGAATGAGAAAGAGAGAGAGAGAGAGAGAGAGAGAAAGAGAAAGAGAGAGAAAGGTGTGTGTGTGTGTAATTGTAGAATCAAGTTCCTGAAGTTACGTAGTTCTAGAACTCTACTCATTATGTCTTTCATCGTTCAGTTTGCGTGCTTAATCCACACACACACACACATTCATACACACATTTATACACATATTCATACACACATATATAAATACACTTATACAGAAAGTGTTATACGCGAATGAGTTTTATTAAAGTATCGTTGTATAATGAGACGTTCGTTGTTACATGTATTTTCACACACACACACACACATACACACATGTGATGTATTAAGAATTTTTTTATATTTTCATAATAGAAAGTTAACCATGTGTGTTTATGATCACCACTTTAATATTTTCTTTTTTGCTTTTAATTTATATAATGTATTATTATATTGTTTTGATTAATTAGATTAAATTATGTCAATTAACAATGTTGCAATTTTTTTTTCTTTTTTTTTAATTATTATAATAATATATAATTAATATATATATATGTATATTAAATGATGAATATTTGAAATAAATTTGAACAAAAAAAAAAAAAAAAAATTGCACAATTATATACAATTGAAATAAATTACCGTATCATAAAAATGTTTTAACAAAATATTCGATAAGACAAATTTCTCAATTTTTATCTATCAAATTAAAATAAACTTTGTTATATTTTTTTTAAGTATTTAATAAAGTTTGAAAAGAAATAAAAAAAAAAAAAAAGAAAAAAAGGTAAAAAGAAATTAATTAAGAGTTCAACGACATTTCACGTTGCCAAAGTCAACGAAACGCACTTCCTCCTCCTTTACTTAACTTAAATAAAAATTTATAAAAGAGACTAGGACGTTAAAGTCAACCGTTGTTGGTCGTTTATAAATTCCGACGATAATAGGGACAACTACTTACGTACTTATATACCCTATTTAAATATATATATATATATATATACATATCCTTTCCTTCATCTTTATCCATCTCTCTCTCTTACTCATTCTCACATTAAATATCATCTTTTAATAAATAAATTACTATAATATTATTCTATCTTCCCCACCACCTTGGAATTATAATTCATAATACTTTTATAAGACGACAGAACGTCTAAAAAAAAAAAAAAAAAAAAAAAAAANAATATCAGATCAAATCAACAGTTAATAGGTGATCTTTCTATTTTATATTAGAACCCCCATTGTTCCAAAAAAAAAAAAAAAAGAAACAAATGGAATACCAACGAATTATTAAAATGAACATTTTATTAAAATGAACAACACATTGCAAAACACGAAGAAAATTAAAACGATATTATTGAAACATCTTTCCTTATTATTAATAATTATTATTATTAACAATTATTTTTTCCTCTTTTATTTTATTATTTGTATAGAAAAAAAAAATAAAGAAATGAATACGAACGAATTATTTTATAAAAAACAATGAACACAATGAACACATTGCAAAACACAAAAAAAAGATACAATATTATCGAAACCTTTAACAATGATTTTATTTTATTTTATTTTATTTTTTTTTTGTATAAAAATTCAACTGATAAGAAAAGCCAACCTTAAGAAGATGATAAGACGTTGAAAAATCGCGAACTAGTGTCGAATTTTGAAGGAACACCATTATCACAACACCATCACATCATCACCATTCGACAGCGAGTATGCGAAAGGACGAAAGACGTTTCCTACCTTGACTGTAAACGAAAGGAAAGCTAAAGAGATTGTACAAGAGAAAGAGAGATAGTAAAGAAGAAGAAGAAGAAGAAGAAGATGAAGAAGAAGAGGGGTTTGAGGAGAGAGGAGGAGACTTACAAGTATCTTCACCCCCCCTTCCCTCTTTAACTCTTTCTTTTACTCTCTTTTTTACTCTCGTATGTTCTTTCGAACGAAAGAACGGTTCACGTATGTATATATATGTGTCTATGTGTTATGTGTATATATGTATGTATGTATGTATGTATGTACTTGAAAGGGGAACCCTTCGAGTTCGTTCTCTTCGGTAACACTTCTAGCAGAACACTCTAGAGACTCGAGTAGGTTCACCGAAACGTAACATTTTCTACTTTGTGATTACCCTAAACAATAGAATATACCAAAATTACATTTAGTATCTTATTAGGTAGTATATATGTATACATATATGTATATATTATAACATAAGGTATGTATTGTAAAAGATATTGAATATATAGTATATTGTTATATATAGAAATTTTATAATATATACATAAATACATATGTGGATTTGAATAAATCCATATTTGAATTTCAATCAATTAATATATAGTATATTATAATATATTATAATTAATAAATTAACTATATATATATAATAATAAAATAATTATGTTATATTAATTATATAATAAAATATTCAATATATTATTGAATATAATTATTCATATATGTATATATGAAATTGCTTGAATGATAGTAAAAAGTAATTGATAAAAATGAACAGTACCCTAATTAAATCAAATTATATTTGTACATAATAATTTGTAATTTAATTATTTTATTTATTCTTATTTTAAATTTGCAAACATCATTTAGTTTGGCAATCTAAATAAAAATAATACAAATCGATTAAACCATGTATGTATGTAAAAACAGTGTTGTAGTGTGTAATAAATTATATATATAAAAAAAAACAACAACTATTTAAAAAAAAAAAATTTAAATGATTTTTAAAATTGAACTGAAAAAAAAAAAAATGATGACAGAATCAATCATATGTATGGTCAACTAGAATACTTTGTTTCGAAATATTATTTATTATAATAATTCTAATTAGTTTGAACGATAAATGGTAAATGAAAAATGATTTTTTGAAAATTGAACTGAAAAGAAATGATGAGAGAATCGTCTGTATGATCAATCAGAATACTTTGTTATATATAATTCTTATAAATTTATATATGTATTGTCTTTCTCTCGTATAGTTGAACTACCTTGAAAAATATCACCTATCTTTCCTTACCAATGACTCGACGACTACTACCGGTCATGGTGACACACGTTGATCATCATGTTACGGTACACGTCCTACACGACATAATTCTTTTATAGTATGTTTATATACTTTTCTCTCTCTCTCTCTCTCTCTCACTCACTTTACCTATATTACGTGTACGTGTGTTTATATTCATACATTTATATCTATATCTATATCTATATATATATATATATATGTAATGTAATGTAATAATAATTATCTTACCTGTACATCGTTGAATAATAATATACACGAGTATGATTTCTTTTTAATTAACACGTGCATTACAAAACTAATCTTAATTTTAATAATAATAATAATAATAATTCAAATTTCTGTCAAATTTCTTTTTTTTCTAAACTAAGCAAGCACAATTTTTATGCAATTTTTTATGCAATTTTTATGCAACATTATCAATAGGGAACAAGACACGCGTATAATGTGCATGTTTTTTAAGGTTAACACTAATAAATGTATATCTATATATGTATATAACTTTCTGAAATTAGGCGAATTAATCCAACTACACACTCGAGCATTAATTATATATATATATATAAAAAGGGAAAGCATCTTATTGTTTATTGGTTCATTCGCAAGCTTTTTATATGCTTAATAATTTTAGTTTTATTTTTTTGTTCTAATTAAAATCATTAAAATAGAAAAACCATGCTAAAGTGCTATGATAAAAAAGCATTATGAAAAATGATTCGTTTAAAATTTAATTTGATGAATGATAAATAGTGAATGGGTTAATAAATATTATTATATTTTTTCTACAATTTGATAGTTTGAAAAGATTTGTAATAAATGTTTAAGAAAAATAATTTAAAAAATATGAATTATTAATTAATTAATAAAATATTATTTAAAAGTTATACGATTAATAAATGTTTTGATATTTTAAAAATTGTTTATACGGATTTTTAATTATAAAAAAATAAAAAAATTATTCGTGTAAAAATATTTAAATAATTATTATTAAGATAAAAGTATTAAACAATTGTAATTGTATTAACTTTTGTAAACTGTCAAAATTATTAATATTTGTTCACATAAATTTTCAATTCTAAAAACAATAATACAAAATTATCCACGTAATTTAATTACGCCATAGACGTAAAAATATTTAAATAATAATTATTATGATGAAAATATATTAGAAAATAGTAATTGTATAAACTTTAGTTAATAATTAATAATTAAAATTATTAATATTTGAAATAAAAAATTCAATTAAATATAATAATCAATTGTAAACAAAACAAAAACAAATATCGATCCTTTCAAAACAATTGTACAAAAATAAAATAATATATAATAAAAATAAAACAAAAACAAAACAAAAAAATACCCCATCGTCACTATTTATCCTATAATAATTAATAAGTTATTAATTATTAAGAAAAAAATAAAAAAAAAAAAAAACCAAACAAACACTTACATCACACAGGTTAATAATATCGCTCGTCTCGTCATCCGGAGTGGCTAAGGGTGCACGGGGAGAGGAATCAGGGTGATGATGATGATTATTATGATGATCATCTTGAACCGATTTATCATTATCAATTATGTTCGTTTCGTTAGTATCTTCATCACGTTTAATAATCGTATGTATCTCTTCATGATGTTTATCCTTATCAATTTTATCTTCTTCATCATCGATTCTCGTAGCTTCTTCTACAGTCATCCACGAATCAAATTTATGTTTTTGATTATTATCCTCAGATTGTGTTACTGTATCTAATAATTCGACACGTTTAGTTTCGGAAAATATCGTAACGTTAGTTTCCGAAACAACAACTTCAGTTTTTTCAAGTAAAATCGTTGATTCGGATTTTGGACATTGCACATTTTCCAAAGTTTCTGTTTTAATATCATCATCATTGTTCATCATATCAGATTGTACAATAGTTTCGTTAGTATTATCATTTTTAATATTATCAGAATCTTCTTTTGTATTATCATCTTGATTGTTATGTTCCAATACTGAAGATTCCTCATTTAAAACTCGTCTTTCCATGTCAATGAATTCTTGCGTACTGGCAGCATCGGTCGATGCTGTTTCCGATTGGCTCAAGGTCACGTCATCGAAACTTCTCGATTGAGTACAAGAAACGTCTTGAGGACTTTCCTCGATTTTAATCAAACCATAATCCGTCATATTAATAATCGATTCATCTGATATCTCATGATTTTCCGTCATTTGAAAATATTCCATGGTCATTTCCGAATTTGATTCTTTCATCATAATTGGATCTGACGATTCTTTATCAGATTTTTTATCGATAGTTTCATCATCAAAATTATCGGAAAATTGTCCACCCAATTGTTGTTGTTGTTGTTCAGTCCAATTATCAGAAATCTTATCTTGATGATGATTATCATGATCAATTTCAGTTTCAATTAATTTTTCATTGGAATCTAACAAGAATTTGGTTGGTAATGATTCCTCTTCCTGTTGATGCTTGTCTTGACGTATTATGTTTGATGAAGGATCAACAGTGTTAGAAATACCATCATCAATGTCAACATCATCCGATTCCAATTTAACATTTGATTCATTAACGACTGATTCATCGTCACATTTGTCGGATTTTAATAATAAATTATTATCGTCATGCTCGATTGATATTTCATCCATCATCTTGCCACGATCAATCTCATCTATGCTGACATTAGTATTTTGTATTACATCGATATTTTCATTGATAACTTCGTCAAATATTATCTCCTCTAATTCATCTTTAGTTTCTTTAGTTTGATCAGGTTTAACATTAGTTATAGGTGATACGTGACCATTTTGATAACCATATGGTTCTTCTATCAATGCACAATGTTCCAATTCGGCAACGATGAAATCCGTGTTAACCCGAAATGGATCCTCGTGACGTTCAAGAAGAATCCTTTTAACTGCATCAGGTTGATTAGATGATTCTTCATCAATATTATCTTTTTCAACAACTTGAATATTATTATCATCATTATCATCATCATCATCATTATCATCATCATTCAACACCACCACCTCATCGTTTTGTTTTTCTTCCTCTTCTTCTTCTTTATCATTGGGCGAACATATTCTCAATGCCAATTCACTGTCAATCAATTCTTGTAGACTTTTGTCATCCGTGTTTAACTCGTTACGCGTGTTGTTCGTTAATACGAGATCGTCCTCGTCGTCATGGTTGTCGCATAATGATATTAGTTGTTTGTTACTCGCGGTTAAATTATCCAATTCGATCAAACCGTTGTTAGATTGAACACCGCAAACCTCGTTGTTCTTCTTATTACTTACTACGCTTATTGACTTCTTCGTAGCCACCTCCGCCATTATTGCGCAAGTGTGTTCCACCCTCGCGCTAATTCACCTCTCGCGACACCTGCAAATATTACAAATTATTTACTAAATATTCATATTTATATGTATATATATATATATTTTTTTTATCAATATTTTATACATTTGCATTAAATAAGGGTTGTGTTTCAACTATGATTTTTATTTTATTTTTATTTTTATTTTATTTTATTATATAGTATTTTAATTTAATTTAATTTAATTTAATTTAATTAAATTTAATTTTATTTTTATTTATTTTTATTTATATAAATTTAATAACACACAAAATTTGCAATAAGATATAACAGGCAAAAAAAATAAAGATATATATATATATAGTATGTTATTATATTTTTTCAATATGTAAGTTTAAAATGCAAAAATAACTAGATATTATCATAATCTTTGAAATTGTTATTGTAATTAAATAATTGTAATTAAAATACATTAAATAAACTAAAAGTAATAAACCATAGAATTGCAATATCTATTTGCAAAATGAAATTACTAATTTTCAAGAGAAAATTTAATCAAATAAAGAATATCATAATAAGTGAGCAATAAAATAGCTTGCTCACATTGTGCTGTTACATTCATTCAAAATCATTCGTGGGTAAAGAATCTACTAAAAGACCACGAAAACATTTTCTCGTAATTTGCAAGAGTAAAAGAAGGGAGGAAAGGAGAGGGATGATAAACGGAAGTACATGCTTTTCTAGAACTCGAGAGAACGAATGTACGAACGAAGGAACGAACGAACGAACGAACGAACGAATGAAACCTGGGGACTAGCAGCAACGTTGTTGGCCGGCAAGCCAAATATCCTATTCTTAGATATTCCCTGCTCCCGTGTCGTCGTTATGCTTTAACGACACAAGTACAGACATTTTCAAATTGAAATCTGAAACTCTTGGATAGGTGATATCCACTTGTAGTCACACTCTCGTTATCCTCTATATATTTTTTATTATATTAAATATATTATATATATATATACCTATACACATACATATATTATATGTTAAATGTCTCATACATCAAAAAATCAATTGGAAATAATTTGAAAAAATAGTTTTGTTGTTTTGTGAAACATGAGCAATAAAAAAAAAAATCCTAAATTAAAATCATATAAATATGTTTCTATTCAAATCTCGTAATAGTAACCCTTCAAAATATATTCTACTCATTCTAACCTAAAATTTTTTTTATGTATGTGTATTAGGTTACAGTGAAAGATCGAAATTGGAGAATGTCAAGATTCACATGGTTGTTTGTCAAACACGTATCAATTGCATCGGTGAAAGTTTGAATATTTGGGTTTATTATTGTACATCAATTTTTGTTTTTTTT